GAGACTGTCGCTGCCCTCTGCCCCCAGTTAGGATGGTTTCAAATTGGTCTAGCCTAGTGCTTTATTGGCTTCCCAAAAACTTTGGGCTAAGTTCAAGTGTGGGACTCCCCTGGAAGTACACCTCAAAAGCAGATGCCGTCCACACTGTTTCTCAGCAGGAAGTTGCCCCACCCCAGCACAGCTGTTCTCCACTGTGACACGCACAGGAGCCCTGTGCTGAAGAGCAGATTCTGATGAGCAGGGCCGGGTGGGGCCTGAGAGTCTGCGTCTCTAACAAGCTCCCAGGAGACATCTTGCTGCTCTCCAAGGCCCACATGTGAGGGTCTACACCACTTACTGACAGAGCTGCTCTAGCTATGACCAGCTGTAAGGGCTTCCGAAGAGGAGCTCCATAGCTAAGCTGACCAACCCTCCTGGTTTGTGTGGTGCTGAGGGGTTTGCCCAGACTTGAAACCTGGGATGGTCCCAGGGAAACCAGAATTCTTGGTTACCCTGTGCAAAGACATGGGCCAATACAGTTAATTTAGGTAAAGCCTTGACACAGACATCTGAGAAAGGCTCAAGAATGCTTACAAAGGAACAAACAAGGTGTTATAATCTAGTGTAGAAAAAATACTCTTGAAGTACAGAGGGGGCCGGGCACAGTGGCTCATGCCTATAATCCTAGCATTTTGGGAGGCTGAGACAGGCAGATCACCTGAGGTCAGGAGTTCAAGACCAGCCTGGCCAATATGGTGAAAAGCCATCTCTACTAAAAATACAAATATTAGCTGGGCATAGTGGTGGGTGCCTGTAATCCCAGCTACTTGGGAGGCTGAGGCAGGAGAACTGCTTGAACCTGGGAGGTAGAGATTGCAGTGAGCCAAGATTGAGCAACTGTACTCCTGCCTAGGCAACAGGAGCAAAAACCCCGTCTCAAGGAAAAAATAAAAAAGTACCTTGGGAAGGCAGATTAAATTCAAGGTCATTGTGAAACTGAGCTTCTTGAGAACTGAGATCTGAGTGGGATGGGAAAGAAAAGGGATTAGGGAATGATCTAGGCTGGGATGAAGGAAAGGGCTCCCATTGCTATACCTGCCAGCTTTGTTTAGCACTGATTTCCTGAAAAGCCAAGTTCATCTGGGTCATCAGAACCTACCAGACCATTAAAATCATATTCAAGTGTGTGCTGCTGTATTTGTATTAAATTCCTGTATCTATGTATTGGAGGTCACTTTCTCTTCCCAAATGCCGTGGCAGTTAACCTGGCCCTAAACCTGAGTTGCCCTGGCCTCCATGCCCAGGTGGCTTCTAGAGAATGTCACATAATGCAGTGGTTTAATGGCCTTCTCTGGTGACCACAGCCCTGGTCTGGATGTGGTCCTCTCTCTGCCCTGCCGTGTGCCATGTGACCTAGGTAGGAAGGGAGTCAGCATCTACCTGTCCCCCTTCCTCTATAGGAATGGCTGAGGCATGAGGGCTCTGAAAGCCCTGGAGACACACAGAACCTTGCCAATATATGAGTCTGGAAAAACCTCTTGGCCACCCTAAGAAAGCATTTCACAACAAAGACTGCACACAGTATTTTTTGGAGGGCAGCCATGCTCTGGCCTATGGGTTTGGTCCCTAGAACTCAAAGTATGTGGATTTCCTGAATGTGTGAGAAAAGAAGGCTCCATATTCCCTATACTTCATCCCCAAGGGTATGGTTTATTACCACCGTAATAAACCTGAGTTTTGAGGTTTTGCTCTTGTTGCCCAGGCTGGAGTGCAATGGAGCGGTCTCAGCTCACTGCAACCTCCACCTCCCAGGTTCAAGTGATTCTCCTGCCTCAGCCTCCCAAGTAGCTGGGATGACACACATGCCACCACTCCTGGCTATTGTATTTTTAGTACAGAAGGGGTTTCTCCGTGTTGCCCAGTCCTGGTCTCAAACAACTGACCTCAGGTGATCCACCTGTCTCAGCCTCCCAAAGTGCTGGGATTACAGGCATGAGCCACCACGCTCGGCCTAAGGGAGGCTTCTTAATTATAAAATATATAAGGCTAGGCATGGTGGCTCAGCGCTCTGGGAAGCCAAGGCAGGAGGATTGCTTGAACTCTGGAGTTTGAGAGCAGCCTGGACTACATAACGAGAGCCAGTTTCTACTAAAATAAAATAAAATAAAACTTTGCTGGGCATGGGGTTGTGTGCCTTTGATCACAGCTATTCAGGAGGCTGAAGTGAGCTATGATTGCACCATTGCATTCCAGCCTGGGCAACAGAGTGAGACCCTGTCTCAATTAAAAAAAAAAAAAATATATATATATATATATGCATATGTGTGTGTATATGTGTGCATATGTGTGTGTGGCAACAGAGTGAGACCCTGTCTCAATTAAAAAAAATATATATATATGCATATGTGTGTGTATATGTGTGCATATGTGTGTGGCAACAGAGACCCTGTCTCAATTAAAAAATATATATATATATGCATATGTGTGTGTATATGTGTGCATATGTGTGTGTGGCAACAGAGTGAGACCCTGTCTCAATTAAAAAAAAAAAATATATATATATGCATATGTGTGTGTATATGTGTGCATATGTGTATGTGGCAACAGAGTGAGACCCTGTCTCAATTAAAAAAAAAATATATATATATGCATATGTGTGTGTATATGTGTGCATATGTGTGTGTGGCAACAGAGTGAGACCCTGTCTCAATTAAAAAAATATATATATATATGCATATGTGTGTGTATATGTGTGCATATGTGTGTGGCAACAGAGACCCTGTCTCAATTAAAAAAAAATATATATATATATGCATATGTGTGTGTATATGTGTGCATGTGTGTGGCAACAGAGACCCTGTCTCAATTAAAAAAATATATATATATATGCATATGTGTGTGTATATGTGTGCATATGTGTGTGTGGCAACAGAGACCCTGTCTCAATTAAAAAAAATATATATATATATGCATATGTGTGTGTATATGTGTGCATATGTGTGTGTGGCAACAGAGTGAGACCCTGTCTCAATTAAAAAAAAAATATATATATATATGCATGTGTGTGTATATGTGTGCATATGTGTGTGTGGCAACAGAGTGAGCCCCTGTCTCAATTAAAAAAAATATATATATATATGCATATGTGTGTGTATATGTGTGCATATGTGTGTGTGGCAACAGAGATCCTGTCTCAATTAAAAAAAATATATATATATATGCATATGTGTGTGTATATGTGTGCATATGTGTGTGTGGCAACAGAGTGAGACCCTGTCTCAATTAAAAAAAAAATATATATATATATGCATATGTGTGTGTATATGTGTGCATATGTGTGTGTGGCAACAGAGATCCTGTCTCAATTAAAAAAAAAAATATATATATATATATGCATATGTGTGTGTATATGTGTGCATATGTGTGTGGCAACAGAGACCCTGTCTCAATTAAAAAAATATATATATATGCGTATGTGTGTGTGGCAACAGAGTGAGACCCTGTCTCAATTAAAAAAATATATATATATGCATATGTGTGTGCATGTATGTGTGTGTGTGTGTGTGTGCGCGCACGCGCACAGCTTTATTTCTTCAGCCGTGATTAAGATTTGAACTTTGGAATCAGGTAGATCTGACTGCAGGTCCAGCTCTGGCACTTTCTCCCCCTCTAGAGCCTGGGTTTCCTCATCGGTAAATTAGAGATATTAACAATGCATCCTCTTTGGGGTGGCTGGGCCTTGGCAGGCACACAGTCAATGCTCAGCTCACAGGCTGCTGGAGGAGGGTCACTGGGCGGGGCAGGCGTTCTGTGGGGCCTCCTTTAAGGCAGGTTGTCATTAGCACACTACCAGCAACAGGAAGCTCCAAGATGCTGCCAAACCACTTGAAAAGATGTGTTAGAAATCCCCATTTGGGGGACCTAATCAAACTCCACAGCTTCTGCACGGCAAAAGAAACAGTCACTAGAGTGAATCGGCAACCAACAGAATGGGAAAAAATTTTTGCAGTTTACCCATCTGACAAAGGGCTGATATCCAGAATTTACAAAGAACTCAAACAGATTTACAAGAAAAAAACAAGCCCATTCAAAAGTGGGCAAAGGATATGAACCGACACTTTACGAAAGAAGACATATATGAGGCCAACAGTCATATGAAAAAATGTTCATCGTCACTGGTCATCAGAGAGATGCAAATCAAAACCACATTGAGATACCATCTCACGCCAGTTAGAATGGCGATCATTAAAAAATCTGGAGACAACAGATGCTGGAGAGGATGTGGAGAAAAAGGAACACTTTTACACTGTTGGTGGGAGTGTAAATTAGTCCAACCATTGTGGAAGACAGTGTGGCGATTCCTCAAGGCCGTAGAAATAGAAATTCCATTTGACCCAGCAATCCCATTACTGGGTATATACCCAAAGGACTATAAATCATTCTACTATAAGGACACATGCACACGAATGTTTATTGCAGCACTGTTTACAATAGCAAAGACCTGGAATCAACCCAAATGCCCATTGATGATAGACTGGATTGGGAAAATGTGGCACATTACACCATGGAATATTATGCAGCAATCAGAAATGATGAGTTCGTGTCGTTTGTAGGGACATGGATGAATCTGGAGAACATCATTCTCAGCAAACTGACACAAGAACAGAAAATGAAACACCGCATATTCTCACTCATAGGTGGGTGATGAAAAATGAGAACACATGGACACAGAGAGGGGAGTACTAAACACTGGGGTCTACTGGGGGAAAAAGGGGAGGGCCAGTGGGAGGGGGAGGTGGGGAGGGATAGCCTGGGGAGAAATGCCAAATGTGGGTGAAGGGGTGAAAGCAAACAGAACACACTGCCATGTGTGTACCTATGCAACTGTATTGCATGCTCTGCACATGTACCCCAAAACCTAAAATGCAATAAAAAAAAAAGAAAAAAAAAAAAAAAAGAAATCCCCATTTGGTAGAGAACAAAATTCTCAGTTCACAGAGCTTAAAGATGAGTCAGTCCTTTTGTTGTTAATAAATCCTTTATATTTGAAGAGTTTTAGATGTATAGAAAAGCTGTAAAGATAGTATGGAGAGTTCCAATCTCTCACAGGGAGTCCTGCATCGGCTCCCTGCTGGGGTGGGCTTGCTGTGGTCCAGTGGTTCAGTTTTTGTCTGGCTTCCTTTTTTCTGTGGTGAGGGTCTAGCCCACAAGCTGAGTTATGGATATGCTGCAGCTTTTCTGTTTGTGAAAATGACCTTGATCCCCACCTGCACCTTTTCCTCTCTGTATACAGGCCCACCCACAGCATGAGGCCATCCAGTGTGAGGAGCACACCCAGTGAGCTAGGCCAGGTGACCTCTGACTGCTACCCCTTGCAGGCCCAAGGTCAATCAGAGCCCCTGCAGAGGAGGCACTGTTACCATCTCCTGGCTTCCGGATGGTCCAGAGGGGGATTTCTCAGAGATAAGTGAGCCAGACCTCTAAGAATCTGTAGGGTGGGTGAGCATATTTGGGTGTTCTTTTTTTCAGATGAAAAGTATTTATGGTGGCCTGAGGCTTGAGGCTTAACCACTATGAGCCTCAGTTTCCCTTTTCAGAAAATGGGAATAAACCAATGCTTCAGTCCTGGGAATGTGGTGAAGAGTGAAGGAGAAGTGTGAGTAGCACTGGGCCTGGCACAGATGAGTGTGGTACTTTTATAATGATAAAAAAGCTGTGTGGGCCATACCAGCCATGCCAAGTGTACATGTGGCCTCAGCTCACCAGATTCTCCCACCCTCTGCCACTCCCCAGGGTGGAGGGGAGTGAAGAAGTCAGTGCCATATCCCAGCACAGGCTTGAATCATTGTATGCTTGACAGGCTCCAAGGCCTCCCCAAGTTAGGTCTTCTCTCTGTGTACCATGACATTCCTCCAGAAAGACAAAAGTGCAAAGAACATCTTCCAATTTAAAACATGTTTAATGACCAGGCTCAGTGGCTCACACTTGTAATCCCAGCACTTGGGGAGGCTGAGGGGGATGGATCACCTGCGGTCAGGAGTTCGAGATCAACCTGGTCAATGTGAACCATGCCTCTACTAAAAATTTAAAAAAAATTAGCCAGGCATGGTGGCGGGCAGCTGTAATCCCAACTACTCGGGAGGCTGAGGCAGGAGAATCCTTGAACCCAGAAGGCGGGGGTTGCAGTGAACCGAGATCGTGCCACTGCACTCTCTCTTGGTGAGAGAGTGAAAGTCTGTCTCAAAAAAAAAAAAAAAAAAAGTATGTTTTACGGACACTCAGGAAGACTGGTATTTAATGTAATCAGTAGCAAATACTTTTACAAAGTGATGAAGTCTTTGTGTCACAAACAACTCCCTTCCCCAAATTACTCTGTGTGGTTAGTTCTGATTTCACTGTACTTTGGGTTCAAGCTATGTATCTGGGAGAAAGACATACGTGTCATTTTTCATAATATTCATCAAATGAAGAACTTTGGAAGGATATGCAGGAATCTAAAATTCACTTGAGGTCATGAGGCAGATCTCCCACAGGGGGTTTCCAGATGTTTACTGAAATAGACGAGAAGAGAGACAGAGGTCTCTGCATCGTGTCTCAGATCTGAGTGAGGCCAGTTAGGAAAGAAATTAGGTCTGGAGGGCCATGGACCAAGGCCTACCTCTCCTCAGCTGCCCCACGACTGCCTCTCTGCCCTAAATGGGTAGCTGAAGGGGGAAGAGAAAGAAGAGATAGAAAAAGAAAGAGAGAGAGAGAGAGAGAGAGAGAGAGAAGGCAGGAGCAGTAGGAGGGTGTGGATGCTTGGGAGTAGCTCACACCTGCTGCTTTTTGATTAGGGAGTGTATTGAAAACCACCCTGTTCAGAAAGCTCATGCCTTGGCCTCACTCCCCTTGTCTTGGCTGACAGGACAGCTACACACTCAAATGCCCCTAAATGCAGGTTTGAGGACCCTCCTAGGGCAGGATGACACCTGGGGACAGGCAGAGCAGCAGTCAGGCAGCAGAGCCAGGCCAGCTGGGGAAGTGTGCACCCTCAGAAACGTGGCCGGGCGGCCCTGTGGCAAGTGTAAAATGCCCACCATCATGGTGCCTTGACAGTCAGCAGAAAGCGTGGGGTGTTATGTTTCCCCTATGACTTCATCCCTCCCCCCAAATAATTATACTAACAACCCTAAGAGCTGTCATGTCTGGGGCATCTAAGCGGGTCAGATACTACATACCTTATTTCACTTACCCTTCACTGAAACCCCATGAGGCAGGGGTTTATTTCCCTCATTTTACAGGGAGGTACTGGATCTCACGGGGGTGTGGGCAACTGCCAGGGGTCTCGCCCTGATTGTAGGTGCAGGGCTGGCTGTTAGCCTCAGGTCCATGTGACTCAGGTCAGGAGCTCAGAGCCCCTGTGCTGCCACACAGCCCTCAGTGTGTTGCACTGTTGCCATGGGTAAGCTCTCCAGGGTCTGGCAAGGATGGTGAAGTCCGGTCAGAGGGCAGATGCCAGGCCGTGACCCTGGCAAGGATGGTGAAGTCCGATCAGAGGGCAGATGCCAGGCCTCACGGCACAGCTGTTGCAACAGAACCTGAACTGGAAATTGGGTTGCTGCTGTTGTTTTTTAAAAAATCCCCTGCATCTTAAACTAAGCTAGGTAAGCCACATAGACTAGCTTTCAAGATGTTGGGTCTCCGGTAGATCCCAGCTGGTCTTCAGTTTGTATCTGCCACTCACTGCCCTGCGTCAAATACTTAAGGTCTTTGTGCCTCATGTTTCTCATTGGTAAATTCCCTGCAGGCTGTTGTAAAACAGAATGAGATGATGCTTACCCAGAGCCTGGCCTGAGAGCTCAGTAACCAACCGTTCTAAGAACTGGAGGAACAGGCTATAGCTTTAGGCTTTCCTTTCTGCCCTGGGATGTTCTTCCTGGCAAAACAACAGCACTGAGTCTGCTCTCCTGGTGGGTTCCATCAAAGCATTAACACTGAACAGCAACGAAAGAGGGCGTGGAGCTCTTCCTTCTGGACCGAATGCCCGAATGCACTCTCAAGTTTGTTGCAAGAACCTGAGAGCTCATTACCTGCCTTGGCTGTGGAATAGGCCCATGCCAGTGCCTATGTCTTTCTGTTCTATCCCCTGAAAGTCAAAACAAAAGTTTCTCCTCTTGATATAGGAGGTGGGCCTCGGCTCTGGAGGTGGGGCTTGGACACCAGACTAGATTGAGGACTAACTAAAACAGAGCTGGGGTGAAAGCAGCTTTGAATCAAACATGTTCACCAGTGAGACACATCAATTTACTGTAGCCATGGCAACACCTGGGCATTACCACCCCTTTCCATGGTAATGACCCAATGATCCAGAAGTGCCTACCCCGCCCCTAGAAAGTTCTGCATAAACTGCCCCTAAATCTGCATGCATTAAAAGTGGGTAAAGTTGCCTTGCACCTGTAATCCCAGCACTTTGGGAGGCTGAGACAGGTGGATCACCTGAGTTCAGGAGTCCGAGACCAGCCTGGCCAACATGATGAAACCCCATCTCCACTAAAAATATAAAAATTAGCTGAGTGTGGTGGTGGGTGCCTGTAATCCCAGCTGCTTGGGAGGCTGAGGCAGGAGAATCACTTGAATCCGGGAGACAGAGGTTGCAGTGAGCTGAGGCATTGCACTCCAGCCTGGGCAACAGAGCAAGACTCCATCTAAAAAAAAAAAGTGGGTATAAATACAACTACAAAATAGCCCTGAGCCACCACTCCCTGCTTAGGATAGCCCTCCTCCGCAGGAGCAGTCATGGAGTTTAACACTGCCTCTTCAATAAAGCTTTCTTCTACTTCTGGCTTTCCCTTGACGTTTTTCCTGGGCAAAGCCAGGAACCCAGCAGGCTAAGCTTCACTTTTGGGCTTGCCTGCCCTGTATCACTGGCTTCCTTCTGAACCCTCCTCACACTAAGCAAATGCAATGCCTTTTCCCCACTCCCTTAGCCCTTTCCAAGGTCTGGGCTGGGTTGCATTCAGCCAGTGTGGTCACCACCTTCACAGTGGCACAGCTTGCTTGGGGAACTCACTGATGGCTGCTGAGGGGAAGGCATGGGTTGTGACATGTCCTGTGAGGTGCTATCATGAACATGTAATATGAAATCAGCTGCAGGCTGATGCCATGTGGGTAGTACCCTCCCATGTGAGGGTATGGCCTCCTGGGCAGGATCCTTATTCTCCTGGAGCACAGGAACAAGGTGCGAACAGGCAGAAGGCCAGGTCCCATGGCTGCTCTGGAAGGCTGACCAGGCTCTTCACACACACTCCATCGACCCTCCCTCACCATCTGGCCCCACTGTAACCTCTGCCGACGGGCTTCAGCCTCACTCCACCTGCAAATGTTCTCAGGGAGGTCAGCATACGCTCCAAATGACCAAATCCAGTGTTTACAATTCTGCCCTTGCCTGATTTGCTCTTTCTGCAACATCTGGCGTCATGGACCCTTCCGCATTTTGGAAACCATTTCTTCTAGGGAACCTGACAGTTTTTTCCCATATTCTCTCCTACTCCTCTGGATGCTTTCCTTGGTCTCCTTCACTGAGTTTTCTTCCTCCTCCTGCACAGAATAACCTCCGGGGTTCCTTTCTGTCTCCCTTCCTGCTCTGCCACTCTTGGGGCATACTCATTCCCAAACGTGGCTTCTGTTATCACCTCCCAGGTCTCTGTTTCTGGCCTAGACCACTCTGTTGAGACCTTGTATCCAACTGCCTATTAACGAGCTAGCTCCTTATAGGCCTTTGGGGCTCAACACGAACTCAGTATCAGTGATCCCCAAGCTGCTCCTCCCCCAGCATTTCCTCCTGTGGTGAACTATGCTACCATCCATCTGGTCACTCAAGCTAGGAACTTCCCTCCCTGTTTACCTTATGTACAACTGATCACCATGTCTCATCTAATCCACCTCCCAGGCATTTCTGGACTCCTCCCTCTTCACTCCCATAGCCATTGCCTCAGTTTAGTCAGTGTCATTTCCCTGGGTTGCTGCCATAGCCTCCTATGCTGTATTCCTATGCCCCACATTCATTAATTACCAGAGAAGTCTTTCTTTTCTTTTCTTTTGTCAACCCAGCTGGAGTGCAGTGGCGTGATCTCAGCTCACTGCAGCCTCTGCCTCCCAGGTTCAAGCAATTTTCTGCCTCAGCCTCCTGAGTAGCTGGGATTACAGGCACCCACCACCACACCCAGCTAATTTTTGTATTTTTAGTGGAGACGGGGTTTCACCATCTTGGCCAGGCTGGTCTTGAACTCCTGACCTTGTGATACACCCGCATCAGCCTCCCAAAGCGCTGGAATTACAGGTGTGAGCCACTGCGCCCCGCGCCGGGCTACCAGGGAAGTTTTTCGAGAGCACACATCTGGTAGTGCTTATCCACTCAAAGCTTCCACTGGGAGTCCATCACCCTCAGAAGACTGCCTCAATTCAGGGTCTTCCTGTTTGCTTGTCCGTTCACTTATCTTACAGGTAATGAACCACAGGTACCCTTTGGTCCATCAGCCCAACCTACAGGCCACAGCAGGCCTTGATGATTTTCCCTACAGTTTCCCTTCTCCTAATTCCAACTGCTCCTAAAGGTGGGAATCAAGTGTCGCCTCCCCAGGAATATTTGCCCTGACCCCCATGCCCTGCCATCTTTATCAGAATCTGGACCCTCCCCTTTGCATTATAGGCAAAGCTCTTTCAGAGCAATTATCATACTACATAGAGAGAGTTGGTTTATACCAGCTTGTGATCCAGGGATCAAGGGCTGGTATTGCATCCTTCTATCTCCAGCACCTGTCACTGTACCTGTCACATAATAAATGTTGCAGGTAAAAGTAAAGAACGGCCAGGTGCAGTGGCTCCTGCCTATAATCCTAGCACTTTGGGAGGGCAAGGCAGGAGGATCGTTGGAGCCCAGGAGTTTGAGACCAGCCTGGGCAATATAGCAAGATCTCACCTCTGTAAAAAATTTTAAAAATCAGTGGAGCATGGCAGTACCTGTAGTCCCAGCTACTCTGGAGGTTGAGGTGGGAGGATCACTTGAGCCCAAGAGGCGTAGTTGCAGTGAGCCGAGATTGCACCACTGCACTTCAGCCCAGGTGACAGAGCAAGACCTTACCTCAAAAAAAAAAAAAAGTAAAGAATGAAGAGAAGGGATGATGCTGAAAAGCTAATGCAGACATAGCTACTTAACAGAAACTGTCATTCAGGGTCAGACCAATGATTAAACAGTCTAATGTTCCAGTCCTGACAACAGTTCCAATGAAGTTTTGGTGGGAGGGGATAGAATCACAACATTTAGAGCAGGAAGTGTTTAACATCCTCATTTGATATAACTCAGAGAGGTGAAATGGATTCCCTTGATCACATAACTCATTAAGACAGAACTAGGCCAGGCAGGGCAACCCACGCCTGTAATCCCAGTACTTTGGGAGTCCAAGGCAGAAGGATCACCTAAGGTCAGGAGTTCAAGACCAGTCCGGCCAACATGAGGACACCCTGCCTCTACCAAAAATAAAAAAATTAGCCAAGCATGGTGGCAAGTGCCTGTAATCCCAGCTGCTCGGGAGGCTGAAGCAGGAGAATTGCTTGAACCCAGAAGGTGGAAGCTGCAGTGAGCCAAGATGCCACCACTGCACTCCAGCCACCTGGGTGACAGCATAAGACTCTGTCTCAAAAAAAAAAAAAAAAAAAAGAACTAGAAGAGCCTGGGAACTTGGCTACCATTGGCATTGTGCTGCCCCTGATGGAAAAGGTAGGCGTGTTCTCTAAAAGCTCCTAAGTCCCTTGGAAACACATTATGGGCCTATGCAAGGTGGTTCAGGCGGCTATAACAAAATACTTTAGACTGGGTAGTTTATGAACAACAGAAGCTTATTGCTTACTGTTCTGGAAGCTGGAAAGTCCAGGATCAAGGCGCCAGCAGATTCAGTGTCTGATGAGGGCCTGTTTCTCATAGATGGCATCATCTATGTGTCCTCTCATGGTAGTATGGCAAACACATGGCAAACAAGCTCCCTGGGCCTTTTTTTATTAATATAAGGGCACTAATCACTCCCCAAAGGCTTCACCTCTTAATAGCATGACCTTGGTGGTTAGGTTTTAACATACAAATTTAGGGAGGACACAAACATTCAGACTATAGCAGGCCTCACAGTCCATAATTATTTTAACATCTGTCTTATCACATTTAGGTGATGAATATTCTTAGAAATAGCAAATGAACTGAATTAACAAATAACAGCAAAAAATCATAGAAAATTGTGAATGGCTCTCTTTGTCTAAAAGTTTATCCTTGTATCGAACACCCGAATTTGTACCCTTGGGTGTAAATTTAAAAGTATTCCCTTTTAAAATGTGGTGGAGCTCTTAACCAAACACTGTTGGGTTTCAAAGATAACTTTCTTCTCATCAAATTCTTCCATAGCTGCCTGCCATGAAGCTGAGCTGTCTCTTAGTCTGCATCTTGTCCTGTTTAATCTCAAGTGGTATGTGGCTATTAAGGAC